TCATATAATCAACCTAAAGATAAACAAAGCTCATTTATATGTCGGAATTATTATAGATTTAAAAAGTAGAATTTAGAGAGAAAAAAATGAAAAACAAAACTGATCATTTTGTGTAATTTACACTCTGTACATATGTATTAATTAGCTTACATATATATACGATATGTAATTTTGTGGTTAATCGTAGATTGAAGATAGAGAACTGATTTTTAAATTATAGACTTTTTAATTTTTTTCTTCACGTATACTTAAAAAGATAATGAATAACGTAACGTTTATAATGTAAAATTAATAAGAAAAAGAACGATATTCAACCGGTAATAGTATGATAGTTGAAATGGATTGTAAGATGTATAAAAATATTTTGATAAAATATGGAAATTGTAATGTCTAAAGATATGATGAAGAAGGGCAAGGATAATCTTGAATGTGAATCCCCATGAAACTAAATATAAATTTATATAGGCAAAATAGAGAAATACCATAAGACATCATAAACTTACAAATTAATGTTTGGAGGTTATGGACATCAAAATTATGAGAGTCTTGAATATTATTAAAAATAAAAATTAAAGAGGTGTAGGTCATGGGTAATTACTCCTTGTAAATAAATTAAATAATAAAAAAATACTTAAAATATTAAAATATATTACCATTTTATGATTAGAAGTGAAGCTAACAAAGAAAAAAAGAATGTGAAAAGTCTTTGTTATACTTTTTTTTAGCCTAATTTTCTATACTTTTTTCACTTAACAAAATGAAATTGAATTGCATTTTTTATATCTAAAAAGTAAAAACTTTTCATGTAATGGAAATCCCGGAAATTGAAGTAAAAAAATATCAACGTGAATATTTTCATTCGTTTGAGCTTTGAAGAAAGCAAAACAAATAAAAGAAAGAAAAATAATCTAATTACTTCACTTCCATTTTCCTATCTTCCTTATCGGATTTACACTCTCGCTGGAAAATTCACATGACCTTTCTGTCTCTCTTTCTCCTCAATCTGGAAGTCCAAGTTCTTGCTATGTGTATGATCAAAAGAGAGACAGAAAGGCCAAGTTTTATAGTGTAGTTTTAGTAGTACTTAGTATTCTTTTTCAATATTTGTTATTTAGCTTGAAATAAGAAACGTTTTGGCTCTTTAACTTATGTCTCAACAGTTACGTGAGAAAGACTTTAAGAATTAAGGAAAACACTATTTCAAATATGAACTAAAAAGAATAATCTTGAGCAAGAGTTTGATGAAATAAAAAATTATGAATTTATATAGATAAAAATGGAGGAATCTTTAAAGAAAATATAAATAGTTCTATGTGCAATAATATTTTTGAACCTTTGTTAATAGTTAGTATTATTACACACAAAGTTAAAATAACTAATTTGCATATAAACAAAAATACAGACTTGCAACAATAAAAAATTATAAAAATTCAAACTAAAGAAGTTACATGGAGAAAACATAAACACACACATCTTCCTTAGGACCTCATCATAAGTAAATAGATAAAAATAAGAATACAGAATCAGTGCCCATTTTTTTGAGCTCTTGTCTGACACCCTTTCTGACAAACTAATCAAATATTCAAGAGTCTTCTTCATCTTGTCAAGTTAAAGCATGAATTTGATAATATAATAATACTACAAAGAACAGTGAAATATAAAGATATAAAGAATGATCATAAGTTGGGATTTCATGAAACAAAAAACTTGTGAATTTATATAGATAAAAATAGAGAGATAACATAAAGTATCTTAAATTTTATAATTTATTAGTTGGAGGTTATGAATATGAAAACTTAAAAGTCATGGAATTAATAATATTATTAAGAATAGAAATTTAATAGATTTAAGTTATGAAAGTGAAACTTAAAAATTAAATAAATAAGAAAAAAAACAAATAAAGAAGATAAAAGAAATACATTTATATTATATAAAGATATAAATTTATTGAATTGAATAAATAAAAGAGAAAGTGAAATAAGAACAAAGAAAGGAAAGACCATTAAAAAAAACCCATAAAATTAACTATCGTGAATAGTTTGTCGTAATTTTTTGAAAAATCAAATGGAAAGATTTGTAATACTTGATGAGAAATTAAGAAATAGTTAGGAAAAGAGAATAATAGCATTAATGGCAAAATAAATTAAATATGATTATCTTTAATATTCTTTAAATTTTTAGGTGAATTTTTATTATATTTTATAGCGATAAGGGTTTGAAAAATACTTTAACTTTGGCCGAAATTGTTGTTACGATATCAAACTTCAAAAAGGACCTTTTACCCCTGTACTATTTAATAGTACCTTTTACCCCATGTACTATTTAATAGTATATTTTAAAGGTATATATATGCCTACATGGACACATTATTATTTATGATGTCCATGTAGGCATATATATACCTTTAAAATACACTATTAAATAGTGCAGGGAGGTGATAGGTCTTCCATAAAGTTTGATATCGTAACAGCAATATCAGCCAAAGTTGGAGTACTTTTCAAACCATTATCCCTATTTTATAACTATAAAAAAGGTCAAAAAATCACAAAAAAGATAAATAGGATTGAAGTTCATAGAGAGCGTCACATCACCGTTTTCATATTCAACTTTATTATTATATATAGATTGGTGCTATCACAATTAATCAAAATCAGAAAAAATAATTTTCAAAATAAAGTGTTTGATATAATAAAATCAATTCACTTTTTCACTTATTAAAGCTTTATTTATTTTTTTACTTCAACCTCCAAAGTAGAGTTAGAAACCAACATGATTTGCTTTTGTTACTTCCATCAAACAACACCGAGTTTATCATCTGCACCAACAAAACTTTTAAGTATATCATAATATTTTTCTCATAAAACAAGCCACCAAATTGTGTACCAAGTAAACTTACCTGATTTGCTTGTAGATGCTATACGTTGTACACAACATCATATAAAGTGCAATTAATCATATATCTCTTTTTTTTTATTAGGCTAGCAAACTCCTTCTTTATTTGTCACACAATTTTCACAATTGAATCAAAAGCAATTGCAAGACTCCCACAACCAATAAGATTGTATTTTGTAATTACGACATTATGTGACTTGACAAGAAAAATTTCATGACATGTTTTATGGTATTTTTTCATTCCGAATGAAGCTTATCTCACCTAAAACATTTCATGTTAAATGAATACTCAACAAGTTTTTTATAATTTATTTAGGGAAAAGGGTCTAAAAAATACTCCAACTTTGGCCGAAATTGTTGTTACGATACCAAACTTTGAAAAGGACCTTTTACCCCCTATACTATTTAATAGTGTATTTTAAAGGTATATATGTGTCTGCGTGAACATCATAAATATTGCATCATTTTAAATAGTAATGTGTCCACGTGGGCACATATATACCTTTAAAATACACTATTAAATAGTGCAGGGGGTAACAGCAATTTCGGCCAAAGTTGGAATATTTTGGAGACCCTTTTCCCTTTTATTTATTACTCTCATGTTAGATCCAAAAATTATCTTATTATAGCCAAACAACGACATGTGATTTATTCCATAATAAATATATGCACTTGTAATACCTTTTTAGAGAATTTCTCAAAGATGCAAAAATCATTTTTTTTCACAATGACTTTTTCCTCATTTCATGAACCACCGTTATTTTAAGAATTTAAATATATTTTTTTCATGAAAAATAGTATCACTTTATTCATGAAAAATATTAGGTAAAAAAAAGTTTTTTTTCTTTTACCTTTTCTCCACTTGAATTGAGCAAGTAGAAAAATAGTTTACCATACACCTCTTCTCTTCCATCTCTTGAATAGAGAGACGTTGAGCGGAATTATGTTGAGATCTCTATCTTGATATCCACACTTTTTCAAACTGTAACAAAAACATAAATCTCCTTAAAATTGTTGGTGTAATATATACCACAAATACAAAATATTACAATTGAAAATAAAATGACAAGAATGAATAAACAAAATTTAGGTTGAAGCACGAATATATCACTCTCTTTAAGAAGATTCAAATCCACTGCGGCATAATCTACACCGATCCAGCAGTATCACTCTTGACTTGTCCCCTCCAGGATACAACAGTCCAACAACGTCGTATAACTCAAGCAACTCTGGATTAGTTGAAGAGTCCAAAGCTCCACAAAAGAACACCTTCTTCGACATATAATTATCATCTCTTGTATAGTGAATATAGTTGAAGACTTAGAATATTTTTCTATGTCTCAACTCTCTCTTTCACTACACTAATATAAACACAATACAATACTGCTCATCTTTTTCACTCTATATTTTCTCGTACATCTCTTAATTTTATATCTCTTCCTTGTACTCAATCCAAAAGAAGACCATCACTATTTATAGGGGATGAATGATGAACTATAGGTTACATGTTACAAGATATAATGATAGAATAAAGAGTAAAATAATGTATTAGAGAATAATGAGGTTTAAATAAGGAAGTTATGGTCATAAAGACCATTACCACATTCTGCCAAAAGATGGCCACTTGCAATTACTCCCCAACGTTTTTTACTTCATTTTTTCACCAAGGGAGAATGACCATTAAGGCTAATTAGAGTGAGAGACAATTTTAATAATATTAAAAGTAAAAATTAAAGGAATCCCATAGTGTAGGACATAAATTACATCCTATCCTAACTAATTTACATTTTACAAAAAATCCCTTAAAAAGGTAGGCGAATGATACATAGCTACCGTGCTGATACATTGTCACTGATACACGCGAAACACTGAATGTCGCGCTAAAAAAGGGAAAAAAACGTAATAATTAAGTCTGTTAATTTAATTAGCTTAATTTACGCCTAACTGACCTAAACATTCCTTATCTTAATAGGTAATCTACTCAGACATTACAAAAATTTCAAATTTCAAAATTATATCTTCTACATTGAAGAACAATTTGTGAACATCCATCGATTTAGAAAAAGCTAGAAATACGAATAAAACTTTGATTTTTTTGCTGATACAAGATGAATATATCAATTTTACTGAGGCATTCAGGAATTTGGGTCAGCGAAGTGAAATATGAAAGTTACAAAAGTGACGGAATAGTTGTTGGACAATCAGTTTCATTTTTGAATCTCAAAGCAGCAATTTCAGCCGAGTTGGATATCGATGTATCAAGGAAAAACATTGAAATTAGTTACACCATAGAAGGTAACTCGTCTCCAATGAAAATTAAGAACGACATGGGTGTTAAACTTTATTTAGAAGTGAAAAAAAGTGAGCCAAGATTTGCAATGTATCCATTATGCATTGACACAAATGAAAAGATTGGCGGTGATGTACATAACTTTGATGGAACATGACGGAGAAATTACGTGTGTAGAAGGCACTAACACAGGATACAGAAGCTCTTGCGGTGGTTGAATCAAGAATTTGTGATTCATATTATATCCCAGAATTGGAAGTTACAAATTACATAATTGATTCAAATAGTATAGAGGTGAAGACAGGTCAGTTATATAAGGATAAAGCAACACTCGTAGATGTGATGGCGAAATATAAGATAAAGAACAATTTCAATTGCAAAGTAAAGAGATCTGATAGACAAAGGTATGCGAGTATTTGATTTTGTTTTGTGAAGAACTGTGGTTGGATTCGTTAGATCTATAAATGGTGATACCATTATTTTGTTTTAATGTATGATACATTATTAAATAGAAAGTCATTGATTTTGATTTTTTGTTTAGTTCGTTGAATATGATTTGTGGTAGATTGATAATGATACAGTATTTGTTGATACATTAAGTTAATATTGTTGTTACGTTCAGATTAGACTGTTTCAAAATTAAATAATTTAATCGCAAAAGTCATGTAGCCGATACATTCCGTAATTTTGTGATACATGATTCATTATTTATTTATTTTTTGAATCTGATAAAAATAATTGTGTTGGTCGTTAATATTATTGATACATTGAGTTAATACTGTTGATATGTTAAGATAATACTGTTGAAACAGTAAATAATCATGTAGCTGATACATTCAAAAAAATTGTGATACGTGTATAAATTAATATTTTCTTAATCTGATACAAAAAATACATCATTCTTTGGTTACTTTGAACTTTAGTGTTTTATATATTATAACATGTAACTGCTATATGTATTAATATAATGAAAAAAACTGTACAGTTATGTGTTGGTATGCTTTTCGGATGAATGTGGCTGGACTATGAAGGCTTCCTGCAGAAAAAAATCTGATGTTTTCAAAGTTAGATACTTCAATAGTGAGCATACGTGTCCAATGCGGGATAGGGTACTAACCAAAGTCCAAGCAACAGTCGGGTTTGTAAGTGGTGTGACTGCTCCCAAATTGGTCAACCATAAAAGAATTCATACTCCAAAAGATATAATTGTTGATATTAGAGAATTCTATGGGATTCAAATATCTTACCAGCAGGCATGGTGTGCTAAAGAACATGCACTAGAAATGATAAGGGGTAAACCATCGGCTGGATATAGACAGATGCCGAGATACATATACATGTTAAATACTGTTTATCCAAATTCTTATATAAGGATGCAGAAGACTAAGGAAGATGAATTTATGTATCTGTTCATAGCCTTAAGACCATTGATTAGGGGGTTCGATTACTGCAGACCAATAGTTGTTGTCGATGGTGCACATCTGGGCGGAGCTTACAAAGGGACGTTTGTATCAGCAAGCACCCTTGATGGGGCAGGTATGTATTTTTTGTAGTTGTGAGGTGTTTGTAAATGTTATGTATCAAATGAAATAATATGTGTTGCTTTGTAATTAGGTTGCATATTTTCATTGGCATATGGTATTGTGGACACTGAAAATGACTGTTCATGGACATGGTTCTTCGAACAATTCAAAAATGCATTTGGCGAGCGCGAAGAAATGTGTGTTGTATCAGATAGGAATGAGAGTATTATGAAAAGTGTAAGGATTGTGTTTCCAAATATACCTCATTATGCATGCATATGGCATCTTTGGAAGAATGTCTGTGGAAACTTCAAAAGGAGCAGAAACACCCTAAGTGATCTATTTTACTCTATGGCCAAGGCATACAGAAAGGAGGATTTTGATAAATTGATGGCTAAGGTTGATAAAATTGATCACAGGGTTAAGGAGTACCTTGAGGATGCAGGGTATGAGAAGTGGTCGAGAGTTCATTCAACAGTAAATAGAGGTAGAACGATGACTTCGAACATTGCGGAATGTATCAATGGTTGTCTTGTTGAAGCACGGCAATTGTCTATATTAGAATTCTTGGAAGAAGTTAGAATTCTATTTGGTTCTTGGCATTGCAAAAACAGAGAAATAGCCTCCTATACAAAGGACACATTAGGGAGAAGATTTGAGGAGGTATGGATTAGAAACGCGTCTAAAAGTTCGAAGATGGAGATATGTGTCATGATACATTATTTTATATTCTATGTATATAATTCGGTGCATCATTCTGTTGTTTGAACATGATTTCTTAAAATGTACGCAGGTTGTTCCATCATCTGAATTTATTTTCTCGGTTTATGAAGCTGGAAGAAGATACATTGTTTGTCTTGAGCGGAAAGTATGTTCTTTTGGAAGATTTCAACTAGATGAAATACCTTGCGCACATGCAATCGCTGTTTTAAAGGAAAAGAATGTTAAAGATATGCATCCATATTGCTCTGATTACTACAAGCCTGATGCAATAGCGAAAACATATGAGACTCCAATGGTTCCAATGCCAGATAAGGAAGATTGGTCAGCTCCTGAGGATGTTGTAGCTGAAACTGTGTATACACCTAGATACAGACGATTAGCTGGACGACCAAGGAAAAGAAGAAAAAAAATTGCAGATGAAAAGATTACAGTGAACACAAATTGTTGTGGACAATGTGGACAAGAAGGTCACAACAGAAGAACTTGTACTTTCTTTCCAAAAGAAAAGTGAAATCATCATAATGTTTATATGACATTAATGTTTTTGTTGAACAATTTTTCACGTAAACAGCTATCAATGTTATTAATCAGTATTGCTGTTCAAAAATAATTAAACTGTATTGTTCATTTTTGTTATTAATAAGTATTATTGTTCAAAAAAATAGTTTGTTATTATTTGTGTATCAATGTTAATTCTGATAAATAAATTTTAAGGTGCAATTATAAATAAAATGTTGGTTAACGTATAAGCTAATGTATCATATGCATTAAATAATAAATAATTTCAGTAATGTAAATTCCTACATTAAATTATATAACGTTTGTTGTATCATATATATTAATTGGTTACTGTATCATTTACATTAAAACATACACAACCTATATGTTAGCAATAAGCTATTAAACGTGTATCATATACTATATATGTTATGATACATACATTAAACAATTAAGTTTGTAAACAGTTTAGAAGATACATAATAACAATGAAAACATGTATCAGTTACTATATATGTTATATGCTGCACTTTTTCTTTATGTAATGCAATAATGTGTCTGAAATTTAACTTTTTATAAGCAAAGTATGTTAGTCCATACTGTATCAAAACAGACTAAAACATGAGTGAAATTGTCAAAAGGATAAAATAAAAAAAACATTGTCTATGCATAGATACTTAGTTACTACACTACGTGAATCAAATCTTCTTCTGGTGGTTGTGTGACTACACTCTTAGGTTTTGGTGGATCATCATTCTCACTAACGTATGCACCCTTAGCCTTCTCGCTGCCATAACTCCACAACAATGCTCCATATCTTTTTGCGTAGGTATTCAGGAAGAAAATCAACATATGATGTTTCGATTTGGTCGCTCAGATACTCCGCAAATGTAGCAATATATAACCCACAGTCTCTACAAAAATGCAGAATATCAGTTATAAACTTAAATCATACATGATTCAAAAACAATAAAAGCACAATACTTACAGGCTGTCACTCTTTTGTTGCATAATGTCTTGGGCAAATTCAACCATGAAAGGAACTTGTGCCTCCAAAAGTGAACCAAAATTATTGTCCTTGTACGCATCACAATCAACAAAGTTTGTTCACTCCGTTTTTTCAAAAAATCCACTGTCCATGAGGTAAGAAGGAAGCATTTTAGACAACATTTTTATCTCGTGCAGAATTGTTTTTTTCCTTGAGCCTAATGAAGAGTCATACACCCTTATCACTCTGTTTTTCAGTTCAACAACAGCCAGCACCCAATGAAATTGTCCACCACAATTAACCGAGATGTAAACATCGTCTACAAGATGCAATGGTAAAGCAGCTGGGATTTCAAAACCTTTGATGATGTTAGTGATTGACCTCTCATATACAGATACAGCTGAAGCGCGATCAATGTGTTCTTGGGTACTAATAAGAACATCATCATTAGCCAGGTAATACCTTTCATAGGTATTTTTTATGTGTGAGATGAACAGGCAGTTGGCTGTTGTGTATCTGTATTGATTCATGCTGCGAAATTTTGATTTTTTACGGAGGTAGTAAAAAACAACATCGATGTGCTATAAAAAACATGATAAACGAAATTAGAAACTTGTAAAAAAAGGTCTATGATAGAATTGATACATTAAATGATAATCTAAACAAATACTAATTTGATAGTTTATTTGATTGTATCCGGGATGATTTTTTGTAGCATGTTGGTCTATATCAATGTATCTGATACATGCTTAAATTATTTTCATTAAGAACTTTACCTGATCAGTCCAACATTTGTTTGGCTGTGACATGACATAGAACCAGTTCTTGTTAATTGGAAATGCAACAACAAAATCCATCATCTCAAATTCAAAAGAAGAGGCTTTTGATCTATATTTATCCTCCGATGGTTTCCTGTGATAATATTTGTATTATCAATTGGTTACATCAAAATAAGTTAATCCAAACTGTATCAAAATATATGTATAAAACTTACTTATTGGCATGATTTTTGAGAAGCCCCTTGGTTAACCACTGCATATACTCATCAATTAGTTTAGACGAAGGTTGATATGTTATCCCACATCCTTCAAATGGAAAATACAGACGAACATCATCATCCAATTTATGTTTTCCCTTATCACTTAACCCAAAAGAAGTCACGTATGGAGATTGAATAATTCTTGAAGGCATCCTGTTTCTAGGCGCAGGAGTCTTTGAATGACTTCTAACAACAATCTCGGTGGTTGGAATATCAGTGGGTAATTGACTATCAGACAACAAATCATGACTGTCAGTTAAATCCTGTGGATTGTAAACACACAATGGTTTAGCAGGAATAGAAACTTTTCCTAGATCGGATTCAAGTGCATCTATTGCTGCTTCAGTTGAGGGCGATATTGTTGTTGATGTGGAAGAATCCTGTATAATAAGATATTAAATATTTTTTAGTATCATTGCATATAATGAATATTAGTGTCATGATGCATAATTGATAAATATACCGATGTATCAACTGTTATTCTAAAAGGCATAAAATGACGGATGTTGTGTTGAACTGTGTCAGCACCATCTTCATCCATGTTTACTTCATTTAAAGCTTGTGGGCTTGATGTGCTTCACCATCCTGAATATAAGCATGTTGTATGTATCAGTTATCCATTATACTAATTATGTATGATATATATATATATAAAAGATGATAATGTATCAAAGAAAATTGTAATGTTTAAAGTTTTGATCATACCGATACCTTCTTAGGATCATTTGCTTCAGTATCAACATGAGTACTTTCATATGTAGGCTGGAGCTCTGAAACACGCTTCATTTGTTGTTGGTTACTGATATTATGATCAATCTATATTTGAATTTTAATAATAAAAAAGGTGCTAACATAAATGATACTGAAACATTATTTAACATAAGTGATGAATATAAAGTTGAAATATATAACTGATTAATGAGATAGAAGATTCGGTGAATCACCTTAACTATATATATGATCTATATGTGCTGATACATATGATTATGATTCTTAATACATACTTAATGTATGAGGTATAACGACAATTACAAACAATGTATGACATGAACTTGATGTCCACCCTCATTAACAAATACACCAACCTCAAAATCAGCTACACCAACTGCATCAGCAAAATCAGTCTGTATATGTGAAGATGGTTGTTTATTGCTTGATTGAGGATCAACTTTGTTGTTTTTCTTGTGTCGAGATAGCATCAACTGCGAGTGGTTTTCCTTTATCAAGATTACAAGTTCCTCAAATTTCTTGTCAACCTATCAAAAAATTATAAAAACCAACTACAATTAGAATCAATAAAAAGAAAATATAATAAAATCAAAATAATTACTTACGTAATTCTTCAAATGATCTTTCAATTCTTCAATATCTGGAATTACATAGTTGACTTTTTGAGCATGTGCAGAACCGTGAACATTAGCAGCCGGTGTCGGAGGACCATCTGGAATAGAAAATGGCTGATTTAATGACATATTGGACTGATCTGGCTGACTGGGTTCTGACACCTTTATTTTAGGTGTATCCACTTTCTTTCTTCTTTTTGGTGGTGGTGGAGATGATGTATCAGACACTCTAGATGATCTCCTTAACAACTGTTCAGGAGGTCTTGTGGAGAAATCATCGAAATCAGCAATGTCATTCGGTGGAACTATCTTGGGATTGACCAGATGTTGTGGTGGGTGAGAAGGAGGATCATGTTCATCTTCAGTTAAATCAAAAGCTGCAAGTTCCTCCGGTGTTGGCATAATGTTTGAACATGCATTCTGGAAAAACAATTTTTTTTAATATTAAGAGATAAAATTATGTATCCTAACACAGAAAAAAATGATTTTAAAAAGACAAACTTGCAACCTTACAACTATATACTTAATTATGTATGAAATGTAACATAAAATGGGATTCAATGTTACCTCTTGAAAAATGCTAGTCATAAGCATTTCAAACTTTGGCTTTAAAGCCACAACCCTCCAATTGCAAATTCTAGGGATGACATTCCGTTCTTTGACAGCAATTTCAGGATTTAATTGGGATGCAAATTCATATGTCCATACGTTAAGTGCATAAGGCATTCCATATAACCGATACAACTGTTTGCTAAGATTGAAATCCTGTCGGAGTGAATCCATGAGCTTTGTGAATGCAATCTGTCCCCAAGGATATACTTGATATCTACCTTCTTCAACCATTAAAAATTCATTAACAGATATTGAAGAATCACCAATTTGAGCCAAAATGAATGTATGGAGAAAGAACAGGATAGCCATCTGGAGTGCATCCTGATTATTCTCCCAGTTGCCCATCAGAAATCGTTGGACTAGATGATTCTTGCTTACACTTTTAACTGCACCAGGAAAATATTTTTGGAATAGTCTACAAGTAGTTGATTCTGGGTATTCAAATTCTTTGGTATTGCCTTTACATTTAAGACCAGCTATTATTGCAAATTCTTTGATACCAAATTTCAAGATAACCCCATTTGCATGCCTAATATGCAACACCTTTGAGTTGCCTTGTTCCAATTCTAACAACAACAAGCATTTACTGATTTGACCCTGAAAATTACATTTAGGAATGTCTAAATAGGGTCCAAAAATTGTAGCTCTAAACAGTTCAATTACATCATCCCCTATAGACTTCTGGAACTCCTCCAAAAAATTTGTGTTAAAAGGGACACCAAACCTTATGGCATGTGTTGGTACCTTTTTATAACATATTTGATTGACTGCAAAATGAAAAAGAAAATTATACTAAATAAAAACACCAAATCACACTACACAACAAGTAATGATACATAATAAAAACAAATTGATACATATAAAAATACATGCTACCAGACTTTAACAAAATCGTATTATAAAACTTGATACATTATACAGAAGGATGCCCTATCTGATACATCAACGATTTTTTTGTTAAATTTGACAAATATCTTTTTCATATTGGAGTTTGTCATGTATCATTTTTTTCGATACAGGAATGTCTAAAT